ATGCAAAGGCTACCATGTGGCATGGGGAGGCTGGCCGGGGGCAGATAAGAATGGAGACCGGGTTGGATTGAAGTCTAGGTCAGAGATGGTTTCTTCAACTTTTCCCACCTGAGACCCCTTTTCGCCTGAGAAATTTGCAACATGGGCAAAAACATCTCGGATTCCTCCGTGTTTTGATTTCAAATTAATTTTTTGTTGCTGTGCATTCAGAATCCTCTCACTGCTGCCAAATTTCTCTAACCCCTTCATTCAGTTACGTGGCCACACGTGGGGACATGGCCCACAGTTTAAGAATCTGGGTGCAGCAGTCCAGTGAACTGTAGTTACCACAGAAAACCAAAAACAGATACACTTACTGTAGTGAGCAAGGGTCCCAAAGACGAATGGTTCTTATGCACAATATCCCTAGCAGGATTCTGGGCCACATTTTAAAAGAAGGAAAACTATGACAGGCACGTACTTTCCTGGTTTAAAAAAACCAGGAATTCTCTCAACGGGATCTTGGTTGTCTTAATTCAGAGAGTAAACACCTCGGGACTTATCAACCAGGACTGATCTGTAGTCACACCCTCAGGTCTCTTTCTGTCGTTGCAGGGTCAGCACGTGGCTCTGACAAAGGGCCCCCAAAGGCGAAGTTGACCAGGAGGTGGCTGTGCAGTGGTGAGTCTCCGTCTGCAGGCTTCCAGGACACTGATTCTTAGCACCTGGCAGCTAAGCTGCATTTAACCATCACACTCTGAATATCGGATTTTAATAAATCAATCTGCAAAGATCTCTCGAGAGGACCCGCCACAAGCATGATAAGCAGGGGGGTCAGAGCAATAAATCATTCACAGTTCTTCCCTTAGTGCTGCTTTTGATCAAGTGAGGAGGGATGAGATTGCACCTAAATCATAAAACATCTCACCAATGGGAAGGGCTTTCATGTCCTTTGGGAAAGCTGCGGGGTACACATAGGGAAGTGATTGACTGCTAGCTCGAAGGCTAGGGATTTGAACCTGCCTGGTGGTGCCGTCTCTTGAGACAATCCTGCTGAGACCTAGGGAGCAGTTCAACACTGCCCATACTAGTTGCCATGAGATGGAATCGACTGAGTGGCACAGAGCCACCACCGTGCAGTCAGCAGCAACCCTGGATGGTGCAGCAAATGGTTAATATGCTTGGATGCTAACCAAAAGGTTGGTGGTTCAAGTCCACTCAAAGAAGCCTTAGAAGAAAGGCCAGGCAATATACTTTGGAAAAATCAGCCATTGAAAATTCTATGGTATGCTGTTCGACTCCAACACAGGGGTCATCATGAATCAGGGTCAACTCTGTGTCTTTCTTTCTTTCATAAAATGAGGTTCAGTCATGTCTGACAAACCTTCCCAGAGTAACTGACATTTCGACTGAGTTCTAATGATGATGAGGATTCTGACCACCCATACAAACCCTCACTGAAGAGCCGAGTATGGTTGCGCCCATGAGATTACCCAAGAACCTTCCGGAATTGGTATCAACACATGCACAGGAGAGAAAGACAGACAGAGACACAGAATCTTCAGCAAGGTTTATGCCCAGCAGACTGTCCCATGTCACCTGTTCTCAGGAAGGTCATCCTGTTTCAAGTGGAAGTTCTCATTCACAGCGATTTCGTGAGCGAGAGTCATGTCTGATAAGCTCCTCGCTGCAGCCATCACTTCGTCCAATGTCACAACCCTGGGAGGGCTCGTCGCTGGAAGGAAAACAAAAGCCCGTTCACCGTTGTGACAAGACAGGAGTCTTCCCAGGAAAGCCCCTGAGGCAGAGTTAGTACTTCAATGTGTGTTTTACAAGTAAAGAGACTTCAAAGACTTTGGGGGTAAAATCTACTATCTTTTCATTCCATTTCCCCCACAGACTTTTGGGAGTCCTTTCCTAAAATGAAAATAGATAGTTAAAAACTTCAAAAATGAAAAGTCATTTGATAACTAAGTTCTCAAATGTTTCTGAGATCACATTAATAGAGGTCTATTCTGTTACAGATGTTTTCTCCTCGTTTATTATGTGTACCAAAGAGGAGCTTGATGAGACAACTCTTTATTCTGTAGTTCAGAGTTCTCATTAATATGCACAGAACCTGTATAAAGCCATTCATTTTTAAAATGACAATTTCTAGAAGTAGAATGCTTCATTTCAGCTTCTAGTTTCGTCCGCTGGGAGTCACCTGCCTTCATTGAGGCAGAGCGTGCCTCCCCATAGCGTAGCCCTCAGATTACATGGAAAGAAAAACCCAGTGAGAATGCAGATCACTCGAGTTAAATAAAATAAACCAGATGAGCAAGCTGATCTACTTCGCAGTAGGAAGTAACAGGGAAAGAATCCTAGTGACACGTACAGACTCTCCTAGCCTAATATATCCTGTCTTCTTTGAAGTCCCTGCTGGATCACTCAGCTTCTGTGCATTAAACATTATGACCTCAGACAACAGCACTGATAGGAATACTTAATTACCAAGTAAATAAATGAATAAAAAGCAAAGAAGAAGAGAAAGAAAGAAAGAGAGAGAAAAGAAGTGGCACATAGACTTGGTAACACCTTCTCCAGGATATAAGGCACTGTGTTGCCAGATGCGTCAACTCCATTTAAAACAGAGTGAGAAAATGCACAGAAACTTGAAGTGGCTGCTGGTAAATTCCACCCCCAGCCCCAAATTTCTGCCCTAATAAGACTTTCCTTTGTGCTCTTGGTCCCCAATTAATTATATCTGAAGGAATTCCCAGAAATGCTTTGTGCACCAAGACACTCACAAAGTCGAACCTGCAACAGAGGAGACTTGGGAAGAAGTGAAGTCCACTGACGAAGCGGTGGAGTGGTCACCTGAGCACATGTCCACTCCCTGAGGCAGCGCAGCACTGTCATTAGCACTGCTATCAAGTCAGACCCAACTCATGGTGACGCATGTGCAGCCCAACCCTGTGCCACTCTCGTGATGGGCTGTGGCTCGGACCGCTGTTGTCTACAGCGGGTTCCTTGGGTGATCTTTGGAAAGAGATCAACCAGGCCTTTCTTCCTAGTCTCTCAGTCTGGAAGCTCTGCCCACACTTGCTCTGCATCATAGCAACACTGAAGCCTCCGCTCACAGATGGATGATGGCTGTGCACGAGGTGCATCGAGAGAGACGCTAACAGGGTCTCCTGCAGAGAAGGGGGAATTCTACTAATGACACACCACTGCCCTCAGATAAAGCAGTTAGTAGTCAAAAAACTATGCTATAAAACCTCGTATAACTCATACATGTTTGAGCTACAACTAGTATTGAAACTAAAACATGTACATAATAATAAATAAAAGGAGTCTAAAAATATTACAGGCAGTCTCCAGGTTATAAGCCCCCAACTTCAGGGAACGTTGCCCTCACTTTGTAGTGAATGAGCCAATCCTATCTGCAACAAACTCTTCATCATAATCACTTTCGTTTGCTACACATGCAGCTTTTACGACACTGAAAAGATGTTGAGCCTTTTCTCGCACTGAACCAAACGACTGCCATCAAATCGATTCTGACTCAAGGCAACACTCTCCTGGGTTTCCAAGGCTGTAATTCTTTATGGGACTACATAACCTCATCTTTCGCCACAGAGCAGCTGGTAGATCCAAACCGTCAACCTTGCAGCTAGCAGTCCAGCACTCACCTTCCTTTTCCACAGGGCTCCTGTATCATCTGGCACTAAAACCCAAACTGCCTGTCATGGAGTCATTCCCCGACCCATAGGGAGCCTACGGGACAGGGGAGAGCTGCCCCTGTGGGATTCGGCCACTGCACCTGTGCTGGGAGTAAAAAGCCTCATCTTTCTCCTGCTCTTGCACTGAAGTAAACCTAAATCAGACGTGTATGCACTTGTTCTAACTCACCCACAAATCCCACGTACTCAGAGACACAAGTAGGAACTCATCCTGCTCGTAACTCGGGGCTGGCTGCCTTTCCATTAAAACATCTTATACACAGTAGCATCACAGATGGGATGAAGACATGACAACGCATCGGCAGTCATTGTCTTCAGATGATAGTGTGGGTCATAGCTTCCTTTCGCTATACATATGCATGTTACAGAATGTCTGGTAAAGTGGAGGAGCGGCAAAAAAGGGGAAGGCCCTCAACAAGACGGATTGCCACAGTGGCTCCAACAATGGGCTCAAACATAAGAACTATTAGGACAGCAGTTCTCAACCTGTGGGTCGTGACCCCTTTGGGGCTCGACTGATCCTTTCACAGAGGTCGCCCGATTCATAATAGTAGCAAAATGACAGTGATGAAGTAGCAATCAAAATAATGTTATGGTCAGGGGTCGGCACCACATGAGGACCTGTATGAAAGGGCCGTCGCAGCAGGAGCAAGGTGGAGAACAGTGAGTTAGTAGGATGCCACAGTACTAGGCAGTGCTGTACACAGGGTCACTGTGGGTCAGAACAGACGCCACGACACCTAACAACAAGAACAGCATACATATCATTTCCAAGTCTTCTTTCATGTGATGGAAATGTTAAAAAAGTAGGTACGGATGAGCACACTTTTTAAAAGTGGCCATTTGCTTGTAGTAAATATCAGTTTCTTCTTTGTCTGTTTCAGGTGTACTATTTGCTTTTTCAGCTTAAGGCGTACTGTTTCTTACACAAACGCCAATTAAAATGCTCATAGAAAAATAAAAACAGCCACTTTCCACATTTTTATGTTCCGCACAAATAGGGCTAGCTCTGTCTCCCTGCGTGAGGGCCGCTCCTCTCACGCATCCCCTGCTCTCGGCACCTTGCAGGGCTGAGGCTTGCACAGCGAGATTTTCGAAACCCGTTATTTTCTCTCGCTTCGGACCTGGCCCTTGAATTGAAGGCAAGCTGACTGCAGTGTAGTTCAGAACTAATCAGAAGAGACCATGCTGGACTGACTGATCTTTGGGGGAGGAAGCAAGAAGGGATCTCCACAAAGAGTCATTGGCGACTGCGTGGGAGAGAAGATGGGTAAGGTTGGGGGGCCTGATTGACAGGCAAACCTACGCAGCTTAGAGACGATGCTCAAACGTGCCACCAGCTGGTTATAGCATCCAGGGCTACCGAGTCCCGAGAGTGTACGCAGAACAGTGGCAAGGCCTCTGCAGTGGTGGTTGGACGCCACTGGAGAGTGGTGGTGGTGGGGGGGCTGTGCTTTGTTCCCACTCATCTCCAAGTTTTAAAACCTAGTCCTGGAGTCTAGGAGCAGCGTCCCTTGCCCCCGTCGACTTACAAGCAGGAGAGTTGGATTTGCTGGAGGAGTCGCTGGTAAAGCTCTGCCTGGAGCACTCATAGTCACTGAGGGAAGCCATGCTCTCGGAAAAGCGGGAGGAGTCTGAGTCGCTTGGCTGGTCCTCGCCCACGTACTGCTTCTCGCCATTGAAGGGCATGTTGTTGTGCTTGAGTGTGGAGAGAGGGCACCTGCACAGACAAACAGACGCCGCATGAACATTCCGCGGTGTGTCCCCTGGCTGCGTGGGCCTCACGTCATAGCGATGCCTTCCTCCATCCCCAGGGCCTCAGCCAGGAAGTCACTAGGTCTGCAGGTCCACCTTCCAGCAAAGAGATGCCACACCAGAGGTGTGGGACACACACCCAGTGTGAATGTGGAACCAGCTCTCTGCATAACAGAGCCTGAAAACACGCGTTTGTTTTTTTTACAGGGGAAAGCGCGAACGCAGTCCCCTACTACCACAAATTATGCAGTCGAGTTTCCCACATTTGGGAAATCGCAGGGGTCAGCACATCCGGAGTGCAATGGATAAGCCTTGCCCTGGGAAAACCACCTTCATGATCATGGTATCTCCCCTGCCAGGTAAGTATACACACATTCATTCATTCATTCATTCATTCATTCATTCATTCATTCATTCTCTCTCTCTCCTGCATTGCTAAAACACAGGAAGGGGAGAGCAGGAGTGTGGGTGCTTGGGTTGGTCAGATAACTGGAGCTGGAATTTCACTCTGTCTTTTCCCAGAGGCCCTTGGGAAAGTCACTCAACCTCTTGGCTTCACTTGTTTACCTAACTGGGCTGAAAAACTGATGTCATGGGGTTGGTTAAAGATTCAAAGCTACTGCCACCACCACCACCACCACCCCACACACACTGCACCCATCACTGCCAATGCTTCTGACTCTTCACAGCCCCCTAGGAGAGGGGAAGCCTGCCCCACGGGGTTGACGGAAGCAGCCCTTCCTCCCAAAAGCCAAACCAGTGGGCTCAAACCATCGACCTTTTGGGGAAAGCAGCTGAACTCTTATGATGAGGCATGATGTTTGGTTTGTGCTTGACAATTCACAAAGTCCTCCCCACAACATGCTGAGTAGAACAGGTACCCAGGGTCCTGATTCATAGGTGTGGCCAGGCTGGGGGGGTGGGGAGCATCCAGGACAGAGGAGGGGACACAGCTCAGCCTGGCCCACCGATTGACTGAGTGCCTGTGGAATACCAGGCACGGAGCTGAGCCCTGGGGGGAAGGAACACTGAACACAGATGGGCTCTCTGCTCCTGTGTGTGTCAGAGTGACAGGGCCAGATATAGATTCCAACTCATGGCGACCCCACGTCTGTCAGAGAAGGACTGTGAGCCACAGTTTTCATGGTGGAGTTGGCAGAAGCAGCTTGCCACTGAGTGGATCCGAACCCCGAATCTTTTGGTGAACGCGCAGGCATGGTAACTGTTTGCCCTGCCCAGCAGCTCCGTGCAGGACCTCAGCAAGTATGGAAAAGGGAAAGCCAGGCATTGCTGAAGATGCCCGAGGAAAGGAAGCCAGGACCAGCATGAAGGAAGGGGCAGTAGCTTTTGTTGAAAAGCACCATGTTTTAATCCCTTGGGTCACCACAAGGATGACAATGGCAAGGATGGGCCAGAGGGATTTATTGAGGGCCAAAGGCCCAGAGCCACTTGCACCTTGCCTTATCAAACAACCCTCTTCAGTCCTGCCACTCACAGAAGGGACATCAGTCGGGCCACCCCCTTTGCAAGCAGAGAACCCCTAACAGAGGAGCATGTCTCTAAAGGTGGAAGGGTCCAGAGCTCAGGCACGGAGCTTAGCTGCCAGGAAGCTACCACATGGAGACAGGCACCATATCCTTGAATCGCAGAGCGAGTCAACAGGCGGGAAGGCCATAGAAACAGCCGTGAGCCCTGGCACATCATTGGTGCAATGCCCTCCCCGAGTCCACGATGCTGTGCTTGGTGGAGTGGGGGCTGAAGAGGGCCGGGAGACCCTGTTGGAATGGATGGGCACGATAGCGTTAGTGGTAGATTTGAACGTGTTGGTGGTTGTGAGGACTCAGAACTGGGCAACCGTCGGTTCTGTTGTATGTCAGGTCGTCACGAGTCAGCGTCAACTCAATGGCAGCCATCATTCCATCCAACCATCCATGAAAAAGACTTGAATTTTTATTCCCAACTGGAGGAAAGCGGTAGAGAAAAGGGGGTGGGGGGGGGCACTTGCTGGAACCAGTTCATTTCCAACCCTGAATCCAGAGTCAGCCCACCAACTCACAGTGACCCAGTGCCACTGAGAACTGTCCAAAGGGTTGCCGCTGGTTCAACCCACGTAGCACTCTGCGGGAGGAAGAGGAGAATGTGAGCTCCTGTACGGTCTCAGGAACTCGTATGGAACAGTTCTACTCGGTCCTACGCGGTCACCAAGTGGGGACTGACTTGATGGTAGTGGGTTCATCTTCCTGAGGGCAGTGGCCCTATTTCTCTCTCTTGGAGCTTCTTGTGGGCTTGAACCCCCAACCTTTTGTTAACAGCTGAGCTCAGCATCACTGCACCGCAGGGCTCCTTACCTCACTTACACTGAATCCAGAGCTTAAGTTCAATGCTTGCCCTCCTCTCTAGGCTTAGGTTTCCCTTCCCCCACCATTTGACTTTCCATTGGATGCGTGTCTTGGCGCCTCCTTCTATCCTCCCGTCAGGGCTAATGGCACTTCTTTTACAGCAGCAGCTCATGTTGTGGGTCCCCTCAACGGCACTGAAGGCCTTTCTATGGTTCTTTTCCTTCCCTGGCTACATCTAACGCCCTTCCCCGAGGCAGACTGTGCCTGATCCATCACCACTGTCCAGTTCATGACCAGTCCTCATTTAGCAGCTGCTGAACAGACGTCATTGTACCCGTTTGGTACAGCTTCCACCGGCACGTGTACAAACTGATAGCGCTCCCTGTTTACAAGACGCCTGCTGCTGGAGTCCATGGCCTGGAGCAGAGAATCTACCATCTCAACCGATCTCTTCAGTTTAAAATTCACACACACACACCCACCACCTCACCTCCAAGTCCTTGCCAGACTCTTAGTTGACTAGCTTAGAGGCGGTCCCCAATTGACTGCTACACCGAGTATGCTCTAGGCTTCTCTCAGCTGCCTCAGACAGGTAGGATCCTGGGTGCTTTGCCCCGGGAAAGTGATCAAAAGCTTCCATCTGTAGGAATTTATGAACTCGGTGAACACTTCTAACTGTCCATTTCATTTCTCTGCTCTAGGTGAACAGCCCACTTTACCGGTTTCTTCAATGGTGCTTAATGAGGCAGCAAGGGGCCAGATTTTAGAAGCAAAAGGTCTTAGTTTAGGAGTTGAAGAAGTCTAGGTTTGGGGACTGAGCCTGTGCATTGACTTGCACCTCACACTGGCTCTCTGGCCTGATTCCCGAGAGAGGGCTGGCTGGCTGGCTAGGAGTGACCACATTCTAGAAACCAGAGTTCCAGGAGGTAGGACCAGGAGTTCCAGGAAACGGGATGTGTGCAGGACAGCCCAGCCTACGAATGTGCATCCACGCCCTTTGTCCTCAAGATTCCTAGACGGGAGAGCTGCTGCCTCTGCGGGGAATGGGACAGAAAGTGGACCAGCTTCTGTCAAGACAGAGAGGAGCTCCCAGAGAATGTTCCTCTCCCATGTTGAACTGGCAGCGGACCCGAGTGCTGCTAAGCAGCACCAGCAGTCGTTCCTCGAAGCGTCATGAGGTGCTGTAGAACTTGCCTGTTTCCTCATCTGGGAACAGTCGCAAGACCTAGCTCCTAGGGTTGGTGTCAGGCGCCGTTCTGCGGATCTCTGTGGGGTGCCTGGGTCGGGACAGGTGTCTGCTATGATTGGTGCGCCCTGCTCTCCGTGGTGGCGGCTGTGGCTGTGTTGTCACCATCATCTCAGGTCTAAAAATGCTGGAGGGGAGAACAGCTCTTTCCCAGGATGATAAAAGCATGTTCCTCTCCCAGGGACACAAGGTGGGTAGCAAGCCTAGGACAGCTCTCTGAAGCATGCTTGCTGGAACTACGAAAGCCAAGCGCAAAGGGCCCCTTCCCTGGCGCAGAGGCTTCTGCGAGGCCCTTCCCATCTGTGCATCTCGGGCTTCCATGAAAGCCATCTGGGGACAGAGCTACTTGACTCAAAAGGCAATGAAGGGTAATTAGGCTGCTTTTCAAACTATTTTGGACTCTCTTGGCACAGGGATAGCGAATGCAGCTGTTTCTTGACAAAAGAAGACGTGACTCCCTCGACAAACAAACGTCAGTCCATTTCACCTGCACCACTGCAATACTCAGAGAGACCTCATCTCAGACTACCTGGTGGGTTTACTCATTGGCCAAAGGTAGAGGCAGACAGGAGGCCAGGCAAAGCTGCCAGCACTACACTGGGTCACTAGAATGAAGCTCTGTCACATCCACGCACGTGTTCACAGTTCCCCTCTGGCATTCTATAATCATCAATACACTGTCACCCCATCCCTCCATCGGCCACTCACTGGCACGGAGCAGACACTGAGCTACCTTCCATTGAAGACAGGAATGGGTGGAAGCAAGGGTTGGGACATGAAGGGGCTGGGGTTATGCTCCAACATCAGGTGACAGGGAGGTAGGCGTTCTAGTTACTAGTGATTCCTCAGCCTGTGTCCAGACCGCTTGCTGACTTGACTCCTTGGTTCCCCTGTCCCCAGCAAACACAACCTGTGACTGGTCCTGGGCTGGTTCCGGACTGCAGAGACAGCTGACATCGCAAAGACAAGGATCCTGCACATGTCCCTGGAAGCAGGGAGGATGCTGGCTCTGGAGCCAGGAGGCCTGGGTTCCTGATCCTGACTCTTGATGGTTACTGACTAGAGACAGGGAGCTGGCTGGCTGCCAGTGGCACGCTGGGATAATGGTAATCCGAGTGTGAGTCTGCGAGTGGGCTTCCAAGAGTTCATGGGAAAGTGGAACTTTTCCATAGGCTGTTTAGAAGCCCCCTCGTGTGTTGTGCTTAGTATGTTATTTTTATTAAAAGAAGTTCTCAATTTCAGAAATGTCAATGTCATTTTGAGAAGAAAAGCCCTGTTCTTGTAAAGGACATGTTCCAGATTAAAAATTATGAGAGACTTGACAACTACAGTTGGGTGATCCTAGGCTGGGTCCCTATGGCAGGGGGGAAAACGAC